TCAGGGTCTGTGCTGTTGGTGTTTTATTTAGGAAATGGTCTCCGGTGCCAATGCATTTAAGAGTGCTTCCTACTTTCTTTTCTATTAAGTTTAGTGTAACTGCACTTATATTCAGGTCTTTGATCCACTTGGACTTGAGTTTTGTGCATGGTGACAGATATGGATCTATTTGTAATCTTTTACATATTGACATCCAGTTATGCCAGCACCGTTTGTTGAAGATACTTTTTTTCCATTGTATAGTTTTTGCTCCTTTGTTAAAAACCAGGTGTTCATATGTGCATGGATTAATGTCAGGGTCTTCAATTCGATTCCATTATGGACCATACTCTTTGCAATAACAAGAAGGTAAAGTGCCTTCCATGATGTTAATGGACTCTCTTGCCATGCTGGAATCTAGACTCTGGTAAAGAAAGATGCCAGAACAGGTATGATGTATATCATGGCTACACAATCTGGGGTGATTCAAGGAAGAAAAACAAAACCAGGGCAGGGATTGGGGAATGAACGGATTGCAAGAGGAGATATTAAGAAAAAGAACTAAAAATAGAACCCTGAAGGAAATGGCAATATAAACTATGTGAATATCAGCCAGAGGAACGCCTTTGGCATAGTGAGCTCAGATGCGTGTGATGTGAAGGACAGGAAGACCAATGTGCCCACAGGGAGAATCTTGAGATCTCAGCAGATTGCAAAAGTTCTTATGAACAGTCTGGCCTCGAACTTGCTGTGTAGCCAAGGATGACCTTTAACCTCTAATCTTCCTGTGCTGTGTATCTCTCCCAAGTGCTGGTATTATAGGCATGTACTATCACACCAGGTTTTTATGTGAAATAAATCCCAGAGCATTGTGAATGCTCGCGAAGCACTCTGTGAACTGAGTTAGTTGATCCTGTGATTGGGGTTCTGGAAGCTGTATGGCTAAAATGTTACCCATTGCTGTTCATTGCCACAGAGCTGATTTTCTTTCTTATCTTTTAGGTACAGATGAAGGATTTCCGATTCTCTTACAAGTTCAAAATGGCCTGCAAGGAGGATGTGTTAAAACTTTGTCCCAACATAAAAAAGAAGTAAGTATCTCTTAATTGCTCTGTCCTGCCCTCAAAGTCTCCCTCAGCCTCTGATGAAGATATAGGATATGAGGCAGCGTCCCGCAGTCTGGCAGTTCGGGTCCAGGGGCCATTCTCTTTGTGGTGTAACCAAACTTAAAAGCCCCTGGAGTATGGGAATATTCTTTTCTTTCCTCCATTTTTATTTATTTATTTTTCTATTATCAGCTTGGTACAGTACAGATTCTTATCCTAATAGTGAAATGTTTCATTGAGGCTTGCCCAGTAATTGAGTAAAACCAAAACTTAAAGCTACAGTCATCCTGGGGTCCCGAGTCGTCCATCCGTCCGTCGTACCCCCCCTCCCCCCGTACACACACACACACACACACACACACACACACACACACACACACACACGCTAAAAAGCCTCCCTGGTTCTGTGGGTTGCAGTCTGATTGTTCTTTGCTTTGTATCTAGTATCCCATTATGAGTGAGTACATACCATGTTTGTCCTTCTGGGTTTGGTTTGGATTCCCTCACTCAGGTTTGGGAATATGGAAATATTCTTGATTTTTTTTTTTTTTTTTAATGTATACAGTGCTCTCTCTGTATGGCCAGAAGAGGTCACAAGGGCGCCAGATCTCATTACAGATGGTTGTGAGCCACCATGTGGTTGCTGGGAATTGAACTCAGAACCTCTGGAAGAACAGCCAATGCTCTTAACCGCTGAAGCCATCTCTCCAGTCCCCTTGTTTGTTTGTTTTTTTTTTAAACCTAGGTTCAGACAACCTGTCTGATTGAAGCAGGTGTAGGGAGTCCTGAGAGAAGGAAGTTGCTGAGCCAGCTTCTTCCCAAAGAAGCATCACAGCCTCACTGAAGTAGAGCTTTGGGGAATAAGTAGACCCCAGCTCCCTTGGGAGTTAGGTCTTAATGAGGAAACTGATAGGCTTTGACAGCGCAGCTGCCCAAATCTTACAAGTTGTTCTGGGGACAGGGGGACATTACTAGAACACATTTTCCCTTCCATGACCCAAGACCATGTTCCCATTTTAGACAGGTTTTTCTTGTACCTTTAGAGACTGTTTCACAGTATGTGAATGTTAACAGCATTGTTCTTTCTGTGGTCACATTGTTTTTAACAAACAGTGCTCTGCTTGGCTTCTGAAGGTGCAGTGGGGTCATGTCCCAAAGCCACAGTGAATGCTTGAGATGCAGATAGTATGGGTAACCTTTTCACTACACCTGTGTACCATGACAAAGTTTAATTTATAAATCAGACATAATAGGAGATTAATAGTAACTAATTATATGGGTAGTGGCAGTGTCACGCATCTTTATCTTAGAACTCAAAAGACTGAACAGGAAGACTGAGATCCAGGTTGTAAAACAGTATACTGTATTAAAAGTCATATGAGTATAGCTACAATATCTTCTAGCGCTATAGGTCCTAACAATCTTGGCATATTTTTCCCCCTTTTAAATTTATATCATTTTTTTTTGTTGTTGTTGTTGTTGTTTTTTCAAGACAGGGTTTCTCTGTGTAGCCCAGGCTGGCCTTGAACTCAGAGATTCATCTGCCTCTGCCTCCCAAACACTGGGATTAAAGGTGTGTGTCACCACAACCCGACTAAATTCAGAACTTTTACCTTTTCAATTAAATGTGGTGATTCTTAGTATTTATTTGGCATATCCAGATTGTCAATTTCACTACTCCTGGCCTTTTCAAGCCGTGGTTAATAAGGGGGACAGTTAAATTATTGAAAACAACAGCAGTGAGGCTTATAAGAAATACATTAAACACACACACACACACACACACACTAATTAATTAATTCTGGGTGAATAGTGTGCCCAGTGCTCTGACTGCACAGTGCTCTGACCCCACTGCAGACAGTCTTATACCTTCTCCTTCCATGGCAGGGTTGATGTAGTGATCTGCCTGAGTACCACTGTGCCCCACTGCAGACAGTCTTATACCTTCTCCTTCCATGGCAGGGTTGATGTAGTGATCTGCCTGAGTACCACTGTGCGCAACGACACTCTGCAGGAAGCCAAGGAGCACCGGGTGTCACTGAAGTGCCGCAAGCAACTCCGTGTGGAGGAGCTGGAGATGGTAATGCTTCCAGAAACCACAGGACCAGTGCTTAGCTGCAGAGCAACAGGGAGATGGCTTCTGCTACCTTTGTGAAGCGTGAGATGTAGTTACAGTTGACAATCTTTCCGTATGACATTCCCACCTCTTTACTGTGTTGAGTTTGGTTTTAAATGACAGACTTTTTTTACCACACACCCCCAGAAGCCAAATGGGATAGATACAAAGTGTGGATAGTCATGGACCAGCCCTGTCCTCAAGGACAGGTCTTTCCTGCCCACTCAGCTGTCCTTGGCCTCAGTTGCATCCTCTGGCTGCAGGATGGCGGCCTGAAGAAGCAGCAGAACTCCCTGCTTCACTCTGTGTCTCCACCAACGGAGGGGAAAGGAAAATCTCCTTTCCCCTTGAAATAAAAGTCCTCCCGTTAAATGTCAGCGTGCCAGCCTGGGGACTGTGGTTCTTCCCCACAGGGCCCATCAGAGACAACTGGGGGGGGAGGAGGGACAGGGACAACTTCAGCTACTGTTGTGAAGCATGAGTCAGAGTCTCAGATGAAATCTTACCATATGACAATGAGTGTCTTCTGCACAGTGCTGCCACCTCTAGAAGTCATTCCTAGACAGTGTCCAGTCAACAAATAAGTCTGTAAACATTCCATCTTCAGGGGACTAGAGAGACAGTTCAGTGGTGACAAGCACTTGCCACTCTTCCAGAGGACCTGAGATCAGTTTTCAGAACCCACGTCAGATGTCTCGTGCCTATTTGTAATTCCAGATCCAGGGCATCTTGACACCTCTGGCCTTCTCAGGTACCTGCACTCATACACATACCCACATGCAGACAGACATAACTACATATAATTTAAAATAATAAAAGTAAATGTTTAAGAAATATATATTGACATCTCTAGCCTAAAATCACCTCACTTCTCACACTGGCTTCCTGTCATGCAGACAGAAGACATCCGTTTGGAACCAGATCTGTACGAAGCCTGCAAGAGTGATATCAAGAGCTATTGTTCTACAGTGCAGTATGGAAATGCTCAGGTAACATTTCATTTTCGTTTTTAATGCTGGAAGTCAAGGTATAGCAGCCAGTTTCTCACTGGTGAGACAAGAACTGCCACCTCCTTATCAGGTTAATTATCCCCTTCAGCTGTTCTAGACTGTTCTAGACATACATACTCCTCTGTACCCCTCTCGGCCTTGTCTGCCCAGTAAATTCCTGGTGTTCGTTTAGGTATTTCTTCTGTATAGCTTCTGCAGTAACTCCACATCCAGTGTTCACCCTGTTCCACCCCACCCACCCACCCACACCCACACCTTTCCTCCCTCCCTCCCTCCCTCTCTCCTTCTTTTCGAGACAGCGTTTCTCTGTGTAGCCCTGGCTGTCCTAGAACTCACTCTGTAGTCCAGGCTGTCCTGAAACTCACAGATCCTCCTGCCATTGCCTCCCATGAGTGCTGGGATTAAAGGCAAGCACCACCACCACCCGGCGTGTTTGTTTTGTTTAATGTCTGCATTCTCAGCTGCCTAGGACTGTGCTGTGGTGCTTTAGCCTTTGGGATGCTTTCTTCGAAGTCTTGTATCTGCTGTTGCAGTTTGTCTCTCTCTCTCCTTTTTTTTCTTTTTTTTTTTTTTGTAGTTAATCTTTCTTTTAGATTAGTTTTCGGTTTGATTTATAATTTCAGTGGGAATGAGACCAGGCAGGACCTTGTTCTTTGTCATGGTGGGCACTTGTCAGAACAGGGTCTTCCTCTGGGCACTGTTTTTTCAGATACTGCTTTGCTTTTCCTCTTTCCTTGAATTCCTGTGGACAGGTGGTGCCCCAAGGTCTGTCCCCAGTCCCCATCCCCAGTGCCCTTTTCACACTTTTCTTATTGCTTTCTGGCCTTGTCCGTTTGAGGTAATTGCTTATCTTCCGTTCCAGCAAACTAATTTATCTTCAATTCTCTCCTTCTTTAAAGACCACCGTTGGGCTTTTTCATTTCCTAAATCTCTGCTTGCTTCTTTTCATAACTACCTATTCTAGATTCTTGTTTATCATTTTCTTCTATATTGTCCTGAGGACATTACATATATTTTTGCATATGCATTACATATCTTGTCTTTGATTGACCTATTAGCTTCCCCCTCAGGTGTGAGTCCTTTGTTTCTGTGTCATTTCTTAGGTATCAGTGTGCTTTATCTAGTTGATGGGTCCTGGTTGTGTCTTTAGTCCTTCAGAGAGGTGTCGTGACCTCATACTGCAGCCCTGGCAGGTGCTGCTTCCCATCTGCTTTCTTTGATTATGTGTTTTATATCTAAACATTTAGCACAGGGAGGAGATTGCTTCAGTATATACCTTAAAATCCATCCCATGATACTTTCTACAGTGCCACTCAACCTTTTCTGTCATAGCTTTTGATTGTTTGCCCTCTGAGATGTTATTTGTCATGGAGGATTGGGTCCAATTCATACTTAGCATCTAACACTATAGATATAAAGTTCATATAAAGTTGAATCTCTAGACTCTCCCTGCTCTCTAGTTAGCAGAGTCAACTGTGTGCTCCAAGAGGAATCTTAACAAGGGAAAGGTCAAGAAGGCAGAAGAAACCACAGAGCCTAAGTGGTTTCCTTCCAGATCCCAGTGCAGCCTGGTAGTCACCCTGAATCTTTGTCGTCTGGTCCACTGCTGGTTCTGAGGTTATAACGCCATGAGCATTATTCTCCTGAATGAGAAAGTCCTCACTCTTATTGCCCGGAATGAGAAACAAAAGATCCTGGGTTAGAAAACCAGTGCCATTCACTGAACTGAATGTTACAGTCCAAACAGATGGGTTTCAATCCCCGATATACTTCCTAACTCAACCATAACTCTTACATTATACATTACTGTCAATTAATAGCATCATCCATAACTATCAGTTAATAGATGAACTATCAGTTCCTGATCGATACTTCCTAACTCAACCATAATTCTTACATCATAGATTATTGAGTGTCTGAAAGAAAACAAGAAGCAGCTGAGTACTCGTTGCCACCAGAAAGTATTTAAGCTTCAGGAAACAGAGATGATGGACCCAGAACTAGACTATACACTCATGCGAGTCTGCAAGCAGATGATTAAGGTAAGGAACAGGTGGCCCATGTGACAACGACAGCAGGAAGCCCTTTCCATTGTGTCCTGTTACACACAGCCAACATGGTGATTCCCTCAGCTCTGGTCTGTAGTCCAGTAGCATTGCCTTTACCTGCCAACTTGTGGATTTTTGAGCCCCCAGAATCTCTGGGGGTGGAGTAGACAGACTGTCCATAAGCCCTCCAGGCAATGTGGATACTGCTCAAGTTGGAAAAATCACAGAGCTGAGCTAATAGGTGGCCAGGATGGGTGTGTTGAGAAAGCCACAATCTAGAGTCTTCATCAGATCATCTCCCACACTCAAGATGTTTCTTTTCTTTTCAAGATTTTTCAATTTCATTTTATGTGTATGAGTCTTTTGCCTGCATGTATGAATGGTACCATATATATGCCTGAGACCCACTGAGACATAGGGTTTTCTAGACCCAGTGTTACAGGTGGTTATAAGATGCCACATGGGTGCTGGGAGCCAAACCCAGGTCCTCTGCAAAAACAACAGCAAGTGCTCTTGACTACTGAGCCATCTCTAGCCATGCAAAATGTGTTTTTATTCTGCACATTCTTTTGCTTCAAATAATCCTCCAGTGAATGTTCTTAACCTATCTGTATATACAAAGAAATTAAACTTAAGGAAATGCAAAGAAATTTTAATAAAACTGCATTTCAGCTTTTCTTTAATATACAGTGCCAATCCTGCCAATAATGTCCGTGGAAAGTTACTGTGTATTTATTTGTGTGTGTGAGCATGCACAAGGGGAGGGGGGGGGGATATGCACATTACAACAAGCAAGGGCACTTGGTGGTCAAGTGTCCTAGCCAGAGTTTGAGGACTGTGACACAGACACATAGCTTAACAAATGAGAGGAAGTTCATCACCAGCCCAAAACTGGGCTCTCATTTAAGGACAGTAAGAGGAGTATAGAGCTAACCTCGCCCTTACACTTAAGGTAAACTACATTGTAGCCTTCCCCAGATCCCTGTTCACATTGGTTAATAGTTATTTTCTAAATTCTGCCGCTGTGGTTGGGTAGGTAGGACCTGAGGGCTGGATGGCACCTGGTCCGTGTTCAATCTACTCACACAGTAATTGCACTTGTGAGATAGCCTGGGCTGTAACATAGCCATAGTAATAGGAACACACCCATGCAGAAGGAAACCAGTGTTGGCAGTGGGGGAAAAGTAAGCAAGGGACGCTGGGTCTGGGTTCCGGCTGGTACTTAGCTGGTCCCTGCTCATGCCAAGCGATGCCTTTGTCTTGTGCTTTCATGAGCTCCCAGGTAGATGTAAAAGTAATCACAGATTAGTTGCTAGTTTGGGATAACCTTTTTCATATAATTCTGTTTATTTGCAGCGGTTCTGTCCAGAAGCAGATTCTAAAACCATGTTACAGTGCTTGAAGCAGAATAAAAACAGTGAATTGATGGATCCCAAATGCAAACAGATGATAACCAAGCGCCAGATCACCCAGAACACAGGTACCGTCACGGCTCAGCTCTCCTGGTCCCATGGAGTGTAGCCCGAGTGGAACTGGTCAACATGGTGTCAACCTCTGGGTGCCATGTAGCTCATAGATTTGAAGAGAGGGCCCTGTATGTGAGCAGTGTACCCCTTCTCCTTTGAAGACTAGCCAGAAAATTAGAATGGGGAAGAGGGCTGAAAATCTGGACAGCTGCTCTTAAAAAATATGGAGAAGGAATGATCATTAGGGTTCCTAGGAAAGGGAATCCCACAAATTTACTCAAACTTCATGAGCATGGGCAGTTGTTTTCAGAAGGGAAATTTCAGCTCTTGACTAGGAAAGCTTGTAGCTTAGTGGACAAAGGTATTAGATATTTTTTTCATGATGCTTTCAAAAGTGTCTATTATGGGCTAGGTTTCTGTTGTTGGCTTTAAATACTGGACCAGAGAACCCCGCGAGATGCTGCAGCGTTGAAGGGTCCTGAGAACCAGCATGTGCTCTGGAACTGAGTCGCATTGCTGATTAGCAACACTGGAAAGATGGGCGCGGTAGCACACACTTAATCCTGGCACTTGAGAGGTTGAGGCAGGAGGATTGTGACAGCAGGCCTGCTCTGAGGGGCCTCTCCTTGAACTGCAGGGAGCCCTTCCGCCCTCTAAAACAGCAGCAGCCCTGGCATGGTGACTTCTCTGCTGCCGTGTGCCATCTTAACAAATACATATTTTTATATAAAACTATATCTATTACTATTGACATTATATGTCCCCTTTTGAGAGGTGAATTTCCAAAAATCTGTGAAAATTTATAGGTGAACTATTTTATCATATACTGACACGTTTTTGCTCCAGATTACCGCTTAAACCCCGTGCTAAGGAAAGCCTGTAAAGCTGACATCCCTAAATTCTGTCATGGTATCCTGACCAAGGCAAAGGATGATTCGGAGCTAGAAGGCCAAGTCATCTCATGCCTCAAGCTGAGATATGCTGACCAGGTACAGAGCTGTATGAATGAGCATTGTCCCCGTAGACATGACTAGCATACTCCTGTTGTCCTTCCCCAAGCTGGGGTGTGAGGGCTCATCTAAACCCCGATGCTCTCGGGTGGGCTGATGTTTTCCCTTTGTCTTCTGTAGCGCCTGTCTTCGGACTGTGAGGACCAGATCCGCATCATCATCCAGGAGTCCGCTCTAGATTACCGCCTGGACCCTCAGCTTCAGCTGCACTGCTCAGATGAGGTAAGCTGTGGAAGTTCTTCTCTGTACTTTCTTCTTAACTTGTGGTGACTGACAGGCCCATCTTATGGGAAGACTTCCAGCTTCTACAGAACACTGGACTGGACTTGGCATTAGTTTGTTACTCTACAGTATTGTTTCCACACTGGCCGGTTAAATAAGAGTATTCTTTTATTATTACCTCCATGTGTACTATGATCCTCCCTCATTATTCTGGATGGCCATTTAGAACCCCTTGAGACTTACCAGAAAATAAAAGTGCTCCCTAATGGCCCTAAGTGCCTGTCCTTGGAAATTATTGGTCTTCTTGGCTAGAAAAGGCCACCTGAGGAGCCCTGCTTAGGTTACTCTTAAAACTGTCCAAAGAAAGTTGTTTACTCTCTTCTCTGAAGATCATGCTTGCAAAGTCTGGGGGTGCATGTCACATGCAGTAGGCATCCAGTTGTAGACCTGAGCCACGTGTTAAGTGTTTGCATTTAGTATGTTATTTGGCCGTCTGACTTTTCTCCTTTCTGTCAAGTCCCAGAACAACATACCTCTTCAGAATTAACAGTCTTTGAACTGTAAAAGGAGAACAGAGCATCCAGTGCAGACATAAGAGAACACACTCCACTAGGAAGCTGTTAGCAGAACCCTGGGCACGTTTGGGAGAATCAACATTGATATGTGTAGGACCCAGGTTTCCGACGATAGTGGCTAGTCTCTCCCCTGTACCTGAGGAGCAGGCCCATTCAGAGACAGCAACAGGCACCATGTATCCAGGGCTAATTTGACGGGGTTGATGTTCTCTGGAAGCCAGCTGTTCCTCAGGAGGGTGGCCCTGTTTTCTTGTCTCCTGAGCAGATTGCCAGCCTATGTGCTGAAGAAGCAGCAGCCCAAGAGCAGACGGGCCAAGTGGAAGAATGCCTCAAGGTCAACCTGCTCAAGATCAAGACAGACCTATGTAAAAAGGTAGCCACACCCTCATCCTTGCCTGTCTCCTGCCTCTTTTCTCTTTTTCCTTTTGGTTCCCTTCCATTATTTATTGGAAGAGAGCCATAGATTAATGGTCAAGGACCATATAATGGTTTGGAAAGAAGTAACAACATAGAATGCTGGGTAGGAAAGCTTATGTTTTATATTTGAATACTATTTTTCCCCTGATTTTTCAAGACAAGGTTTCTCTTTATAGCCCTGGCTGTTCTGGACTCACTGTATAGACCAGAATAGCCTGAACTCAGAGATGTGTCTGCCTCTGCCTCCTGAGTGCTGGCAATAAAGGCGTGCCCACGTGCCCAGCTTATATTTGATTCCTAGGGAGTTGGTATTATAGCATTAAAAGGAAGAAGAGAAAAGGAGGAGATGTGGATGTAAAAGTGATCAAGTCCACATTTTGAGGAATGGTAAGAACTGATTGAGAAATCTAAGCTGGTAGTGGTGGCATACTTTTTGTTTTGTTTTGTTTTGTTTTTCAGGACAGGGTTCTCGTGTAGCTTTGGAGCCTGTCCTGGATCTTGCTCTGTAGCCCAGGCTGGCCTTGAACGAACAGAGGTCCACCTGGCTCTGCCTCCCGAGTGCTGGGATTAAAAGGCATGCACCGCCGCTACACCGCTACCACCCAGCAGTGGCACACATCTTTTATCCCAGCACTCGGGAGGCAGAGGCAGGGAGATCTCTGAGTGTTCGGCCAGTCTGGTCTACAGATCGAGTTCCAGAACAGCCAGGGCTACACAGTGAAGCCGTTTCTCAAAAAAACAAAATAAAATAAGAAGAAGAAAGAAAACCTAGTCCATATATTTTTCTTGATTACAAATGATTCTGTATGGCTAGAAAGGATTTTTTAAACAATATTTGGGCTTTGAGGAGAGGTTTTTGAGGTTTTGTTGTTATTGAAAACAAGAACTCATTTCTGGAGTTTGGTGTAGCTCAGTGATAGCGTGCTTGCCTGGTCCTACATCCAGTCCCCACCATCACAAGAGAAAAAGTGAGGGAAAAGCACTTGCCACCACAGCTGACAACTTGATCCCAGAACCCATGTGTGGAAGGAGAGAACAGACCCGACGTCTTCCTCTGACTTGTACAAGCATAAACACAGAATAAGCAACTGTAATGATAATTTTAAAAATTCCGGGGCTAGAGATGGCTCAACAGTTAAGAACACTAACTGCTCTTCCAGAGGACCCAGTTTCAATTCCTACTGCCCACATGGCAGCTCACAACTGTCTGTAAGTCTAGTTTCAGGGGACTGGACACCTGTGGCAAAACACCAATGCACATTTTAAAAAAAATTAGCTGGACATGATGGCACACGCCTTTAATTCCAGGACTCAAGAGGCAGAGGCAGGTGGAAGTCTCTGGGTTTCAGGACAACCAGGGCTACAACAGTGATACCTGTCAAAACAGAACCATTTTTTTAAAGTAAGAGAAGAGACAAACATTTCTGGTCTGTCTTTGCATCTTATAATTGCACTGTGCATAAACGAAGTATCTGTGCAATTGATTTTTGTTTGCTAGATTTATATCCCTCTTGCTCAGAACATCTTTAAACTTAAAAAGAAGGATAGAAGTGGGCTGAAGAAATGGTTGATTGAGGAGTGGAATTTGAAGATTAGACTAATAGGCTGTATATTAAAGTTCTCAGTCATCAGTCTCATTTTTGAATTTCACATCGTTCAGTTTTCATAAAGTAACAGAATAAATATTATATTAATAAAAATACTAACGTGTAGGTTCTTTAAAATAATGTAGCATACCAGAATGCCAAGAACTCCTGCCTGGTCATCCAGTCTTGTACATACTATTCTTAGCTTTCTTTCTTTCTTTCTTTCTTTTTTTTTTTTAATAAATCTTATTTATTTATTATGTATACAACATTCTGCCACCATGTAACTTCGCAGGCCAGAAGAGGGCACCAGATCTCATTATGTACGGTTGTGAGCCACCATGTGGGTGCTGGGAATTGAACTCAGGACCTCTGGAAGAGCAGTCAGTGCTCTTAACCTCTGAGCCATCTCTCCAGCCCTATTCTTAGCTTTCTTTAACCCCTAGTTTATTCCTCAGAGGTAGTTAGTGAATTAAACTGGGTGCCAAAAGTCTGCACTCTGTGCACATATGGCCACATTACCACCACCTGTCCCAGAGTGGTTCTAGTTCACCTTCCCTCTTTGGCCTGTTTGCTTGTGTGTTCTCTGGAGTATTACAGCCCGCAGATCAGATCCACTTCCTCTCCAAAGCTCTTCCCACAGTGTACTTCCCTTTTCAGGAAGTGTTGAACATGTTGAAGGAGAGCAAAGCAGACATCTTTGTGGACCCAGTTCTTCACACAGCGTGTGCTCTGGACATCAAACACCACTGTGCGGCCATCACCCCTGGCCGAGGGCGTCGTAAGTAATGATTGTTTGCTCTCTCCCTGTCTGAACTCCTTCGGAGGAACAGACACTGCTCCCTTTGAGTCACCAGTTGCAGCTGCTCTGACTGTGCCTGTAGACCAGCCATATACAGCCTCTCCTGGATGTCCGCTTGATGGTGAAGCAAGGCCTTGGTGGCAGTGAATTGGGACTAATTTTGCAGGTTTGAACCGGCCAGAGCCAAAGATTTAGTGAAAAGGAAATTTGAATTATTTGTTAAGGAATCAAAAACTCAGTTACAGCTAAGCATAGTTGTGCACACCTTTAATCCCAGCACTCAGGATTCAGAGACAGGCGGATCTCTGTGAGTTCAAGACCAGGCTGGTCTATAGAGAGAGATTCTGTACAGCCAGAGTTATCCAGAGAGACTCTGTCTCCAAAAGAAGTTAAATCACTGGTTATGTCCTCTTCTCCCCTTTCCTACACTGAGCATCCTGGGTCTCTGTAACAGGCACTGTGGCAGCTTCTGGCTGTCTGAAACCCAGGTGACAGTCGGCAGCTTGTTTCTAAGCCAGGGACACCCAATGAAGTAGAGGGTGAAGACATTGTGAGCAGCTGGCACTGGAAGCCACACTCCTCACCAGTGGGGTCTTGATCAGGGTTTCCAGAAAGAATTGGACTTGGTTGGTCCTGAAGAGCTGAGTTCTCAGATGTTCGGGAATCTTCTCCCTGATTTTACAGAATTGTGTCCGTACAGTTGCAGACTTCTTACTCATTTTCTCCCACAGAGATGTCCTGCCTAATGGAGGCCTTGGAAGATAAGAGAGTGAGGTTGCAGCCCGAGTGCAAAAAGCGTCTCAATGACCGAATTGAAATGTGGAGTTATGCAGCCAAGGTAAAAAGCAAGAGATCTCTGACATGGCAGCCTCTTCTGGCAGGTCTCATCTTTGTGACTTGCGTCAGTGGTCTCATCTTTGATAGAAATCTAGCAGTAGATATATTCCAAAAATCAGGCCAGGAGGGTGGTGCATTTTCCAGGACAGCCAGGGCTACATAGAGAAACTGTCTAGAAAATCAGAACAAGAGAAAAATATATTAAGTCTCTAAAAGTAATTGTTCCTGAACCCATAACTACCATCTCCCTTACAGCAGCTTAGGTCTGCAACGCTCTGTCAGACCAGTACTCTTTGTCATCCTCAGATTCCCATAGTCCAACACCGAAAGGTTATCATTTATCATTACAACCATCCTGTCACTCCTCCCCAAGGAAAAAAGCCACTTGTGGAGCCCCAGTTAGGTGGAGCAGCAGACACTAAGTCATCTTCCTTTACTGAGCTGCTCAGGTTGTGGCTGAGGGACCCAGAGGGACTCACTGCTTATTGTGTACTAGCAAATCTCATTAATCTTTCTTGCACCTCCTGCTCTGTTCTTAAATATATGTCATGAACATAGGAGCCACCCAGGTTTCTCTTGACCACAGGCTTCTAGGATTCCAGGATAATACTCAAAAGAACAGTTTGTGTGCACTTAGGGAAACTTTTTGTCCTGGTTTTTTTTTTTTTTTTTTTTTTTTTTGGTTTTTCGAGACAGGGTTTCTCTGTGTAGCTTTGCGCCTTTCCTGGAGCTCACTTGGTAGCCCAGGCTGGCCTCGAACTCACAGAGATCCGCCTGGCTCTGCCTCCCGAGTGCTGGGATTAAAGGCGTGCGCCACCACCGCCCGGCCTGTCCTGGTTTTTTAAGTCATGATTACACAGTGTTTTTGGTGTGAAAGTACTTATAATGTAATGATTATACTCACAGTGTGGTGCATGCTTATAATCCCAGTGTTTGGAGGTTAAGGCAAGCACATCACAAGTTTGAAGCCAGCCTGGACCTTCTTCTAGCAACAGTAAAAAAGAAAAACATAAAACATGGTCTCAGCTTTCCGAAGCTTTTTGCCTTGTTTTATAAAAAGGTATCAAACACAATGAAGAGCATAAGTACATCTGTAGCCTTGTGACTGTCAAGAGGACCCCAGACTGCAGCCTTCACTGTGACGTAGGAGTAAGGTCTGCCTGCTGGGCTGGTGTGAGCAGTGAGTGAGTGAAAGCAGGCAGAGACCTCACACAAGCTGGCATCATGTCCGCAGCACAAGGTGCTGTTAGTGCTTCCACAGCACTTGAGGGGTAGCGCCTCTTGTGTCTTTCTGTGTCTGTTTGAGCAGGAGACACTTGCAGGTTTGTGATCCAGAAAAGGGGTCAGAGCTGCATTGGTTTCCTTGCCTCTCCCTCCTTAAACGAAAAGATGTAAACTGAGTGCACAAGACGGTTCAGTGAGTAAAGAGGCCTGTTTGCAAACCTAGAGACCCGGGTTCAATCCCTGGAACCTGTTTAAAGGTGGAAGGAGGGAACTGACTCCATAGAGTAGTCCTCTGAGCTCCACATGTACATCATGGCAAGTGTGCATCCACATATTCACATCCTACACACACGCGCATGCACAAAATAAGAATAGTAATAATAAAAAAAGAAAAGGCAGGTCTAAGGGCACACACCATTAGTCCCAGCACTGGGGAGGCAGAGGTAGATGGATCTCTGAGTTCAAGGACAGCCAGGACTACGAAGAGAGATCCTGTCTCAAAACACAAAACAAACCAAATTAATTAAAAATACTTTAATTTATAGAATATATATATATGAATGGATGAATTCAGGGTGGTCAGTTAGCTATAATCTGCCACCTACCCAGCTCTCCCTCAGAGGGTCACACTGCTGTCTCCTTCCAGGTGGCCCCAGCAGATGGCTTCTCTGATCTTGCCATGCAAGTCATGACATCGCCCTCGAAGAACTACATCCTCTCTGTGATCAGTGGGAGCATCTGCATACTGTTCCTGATTGGCCTGATGTGTGGACGGATCACTAAGCGTGTGACACGAGAGCTCAAGGACAGGTAGAGCCGCCTGACCACCAAAGGAACTCCTGCCCGGGCCCAGTTTGTACAGCCTTCCTGTATAGTGCACCCTCTCACTTCGTCCCTCTGCGAGGTGGCACCAACACCCACAGTAGAGCAGCATCAAGTGCCCACTGCATCTTCCCATCCAGACTTGGCCATCCGCGGTGTCCTCCTCCTCCTCCTCCCAGCTGCCGTGGCGGCATTGGCAGCTGGCTGCTTTGGTGGTCGCCTTTGTTGGTGAAGGGTTTACCTGCCTGTAGACAGTTCTGTCATACCTACAGACCTGCCAGTACTTCCAGAATCCACACCTGACCTGCAACTCAGATTTTTTTAAAAACAAAACAAAAAAGACAAAAAAATTGAAAGAAAGGAAACTGTATATAGTAGCCCACCTCCTTCAGTCTTGACTCAGCAGTAGGGTTCTTTCTTTCATGGAAATACAGCGGCTGACAGCAGGACTTGGAGGAGATGTGCATATCCGGTGCCTGATCATTGAAAAGTCTGGTTCCTCTCCTAGAAGCAACTTTGGGCCACATCAAGGCAGGGGACTTCACCAAGTAGTGGGGACACTAAGCAGCCTGCCCTGGGTCCTGTTCGCTTCTGCTGCAGTGTGATGCCTTCCATCTCCACCCCAGATGTGCCCCTGCTGCCCGCAACTCCATAGGAACAGGCGTACCCTGTGATCTCCCCACTTCAGAGCAGAGGCAGGAGCCTCCCTGGGTCAGTGGCAGTGGACTAGGGGGGAGCAGAAGTCTGTGAAGCAGGACTGTCCACTGACCTGCACTAAGGCCGGGGTCTGAGCCTGGGGTTGCCCTGGAAGTTCTCTACCTCAACAGGAAGTAGTTACTAGGTTGGGGTGTGGACTTCTGAGGTGAGGGTGAGGCTGGCAGTGCAGGAACAGGGCTTGGACTCACTCCACTGTGTTTTGAGCTACAGCACAGGCCAGAACTGGTGGCTTCTGCAGATTAAGCCTGGGCTCGGATGTGGGACTGGCAGTGAAGCCCGACCTTCTGCAAACGCCAGGCAGACTTCCCAGACAAGCTCTTGTGCCTCTGTGTGAAGGGATGTGGAAGTGATTGCATTAAAAGATGGAGGGTTTTCTCCGGGGTCTGGTAGTGTTGTTGTTTCCTTTCCGCTCGTTTGCTATGTGTACCCACTCTGGTAGGCACTGGCTAAATGTTACAGTTTGGTGGTTTGCCAACTTTCCATAATCTGAGCTTTACAGGAGCAAGATTCCCAGCCATCCTGCCTCACTCCTCCAGTGTGGAAATGACAGGGTTAGGGCGTAAGGGAGGAACCCGGGTAGGTAGCGCAGCTCACCTTTGGGAGTTTGGGCCATGGCCTCACAGTGGCTGTACAGGAGGGCGGATGTACAGTAGGAGATATATTTATATAATATATATTTTATTAACCTGTTAGATGTCCACAAAGTATTATAAATCATGTGCCTAAAACTGTCCGCACAGACCCAGGCCCTCTGCGGTGCCCTCTCTGCCCCGGCTCTCATTTACACCTACAAGTCCCGCCTCACCTGAGCGTGTGTGTGTGTCTTCCCTGAGGTGTGTGTGTTCGTGCAAGCTGGGTCGGTTTCCATCAGCTTCTCCACATTGCTCCTTGTCTGACCTGACTGACATTGATTTGAATACTGTGGTTTTCTTTCTGCTGCCTTTTCTGGTGGCAGTGAGTTCCAGGCCAGCTGTATGTCCCCTGCAATCCCCTGCATGGGGAATAGGAGTCGCCAGGGGAGCTGCTGCTTGCCTAGCTGCCTGGTTCCCTCAGCATTGCTTTTAGAGTCTTCCTGGTTCTCAGCACCTGTCTTGGGATTCTTGAGTTTGATGAGACTTAAAATCCCTGCTCTGTAAGCGACACCCTCCACTGCTAACTGGCTAAACCAGTCCTTAAAGTCCCTTCTTCCCCAAAAGTCCCAGCATCACACTGAGGCTGATATCCGGAACTGCACACATTGTTGAAGGTGGCCCCCTGACCTCTCTGTGATTCAGGGTCACATTGATGTTCAGAGTAGACTAGGGTAGGTCATGGCTCTGATCCCTGAGGCCTCCCTTCTGTATGTCTTCTAACATGTCTTGGTGTTTCTGTTTCTACACTGACAGGAATCCTCACTGTCTGTAGATTTGGAGGTTTGCTGAGTTAGGTTCTTACAATATTTGTCATTAGAAATGGTCAGAATAGAAATGATAGCTACTAGGGTCTTGAATTGCCTAGTACAGGAAGTGTTCATCTTCCTTGGAGTAGTTCTTACGGCTGGCTCTTGGTCTTAGGCCTGGTCTCGAGTAGGTTTTTCTAGTCTCTGTCTAGGGTCCAGTGCTGTCCATTCTGTAGCTTTTTGGACATAGTGGAGTAGGCTCTAGGACACTCGAGCCCTGGCCTCCTAAGTCAATCATAGGTATAAATTAGATAGTCATGAACTAGTCAAGAACCCCAACCCTGCAGTGGGAGCCAAAGTCTGAGCCTTGCCTTTGCTATTCGACTTCATTGCCTAAGAACAGAAGTAGTCAGGAGGTTTGGGCCAAGGCTTCGGCAGCCAGGTCACGATGGTCTCCCTTTGCCAGCTCATGCCAGTGTCTTGGGGACTGTTGGTGGTACACTAACCTTTGCTGCTTCAGAAAATCAGAGGCCTGGCTGAGGGCTTCTGTGGACCAGTTCAGAAATCTGGATAGTGAGTCAAGAACCAGACTGATCTTCTCCGATGGGGCCTTTCCCAGTGAAGGAACAGTCCAGGAGCAAGACATTTATTTTACCAGGGTGCATCCCTGGACTTCATTGCTGTTGCTGCTGTCAGAGGACATGGCAGCAGCCTGACCCTGGGAAGTGCTTACGCTCTGCATTCCCAGAGAGCACCTGGCTACATTTCCAGCCCTGGTGCTGTGGGTCAAGTCAGCATGCTGAGCTAGTGCATCCTTAGTGGGTGGGGCACTCCAGTGGCATTTGGTGATCAGGTGGTGACAGAACCCATTAAAGGTACCACAGCTACCATCTCCTGCTTTTAGATAGGAGCATCCAGGCCAGCATGAGGCCAAAAATGGGTGAGGAAGAGTCCTCTGTCACAGATAAATGGGCAGAATGTTATTACCCAACTTTATGTCTTCCTGTTTCCTGAAGTCAAGTGATAGAGGACACCCTGTTATCAGACACACCGGGTTACATGATTAGTGCCCTCAGCCTTCCTGAGAGAACGTTGACTCTTGTGTATCAGTGTGACTTCCAGAACTCTCCATGCTCCCTTAGAGGCTGTGTACCATTTCTGGGCTCTCCTGGCTGGTCTCAAGTTCTGAAAAGATACCTCCCTTCCTATTCTTTCCTCTGTCCCAAAACAAAAACAAACTTTTCCCACTCGCCCCAGGCTCAGTATCTCGGGGAGGATGCTAACTGTACTCAGAAGTCAGCCGGCCCAAGTCAGGGCCACAGAACTAGAAGGCGGTGGCCTTTTGAATTACATGCCTCTTGGAAGTTTGTGTTTCAGTTTCTTGTGAATTTGAAAACACAAAGCTCAGAATGCCCTCTTGGATTTCTCTGCCCTACTCGGTTTTGGTTCCCAGAGGGCTGTACCTGCTCTTCTGGCCTCCCTGCCCCTCCGAGTACCTTTGACTTGCCGTCTGTCCAGCCACCCTTTTCCATGGCCTCTCCAGTTTCACCTGATAAGGTAATCAAGTTTAAAGTCAAATTTCCCTTCTTGCTACCCAGTTCTCAGACGACAGTGAGTTGTAAGCAAACGAAGATTAAACCTCAAAGGGACACACTCCCCTGAGCAGACAGTGAGGCTGCTGTGTGGACTCAGGAGCGGCTTGTCACCTAAAACAAAGCAAACAGTTGTCTGCGCAGGCAGGTGGTGACAGATCCTGACAGGGCTGACATCTTCACCCCGCTCTGGGCCCTGAGCTCCAGGCTGTGGAGAGCTTCCTAGGTGAGGAGATGCAGACCATGCCTCTAGGTCATGATCGCCTTTTCCCAACCCGCGCAGTGGGGGCCCGCCTGCT